ATCTAATGATAGTCATAATTGATAATAAAGAATCCGTGACTATGACAGCATTGCCATAAAAATCCAATTAGCTATCTGTATTTATAATCCCTCGTGTATAATACATGTATATTAACTCAAAAATTTGAAACTTTAAGTGTTTATATCTAATAAACAAATAAAGTTAAACTAAAAATTCAAATGCCATTTACTATTGAATTAAAAATCCAAACATTTTATTAAATTGAAAATATGTGTTCCCATTTAAAAAAACAAAGTTGACACCCTTACAAGGCAAAAGGGATGAACATAAAAAATTTTAAATAGTTAATAATTAAAGAATAATGTGTAACTAAAAAAACCAAAATAAAAATGTTTAAATTATTATTACTCTGCAAGTAATTGAGCGAGTTTTGATAAAAAAATCACCCTGTATAGGATTATATTTTAAATAATTAAACTAAAGAAATAATAACAATTAATGCAATGAAATGCTCTAAATAAGTTTTCTAAAAACCATGTAAAGATAACATTCTACATATAATAAATTATACTTAAATTATTTTTCAAATTAAATAAATATATTGTTCAAGTTAAAGGAAAAAAGACAAGTATGCTGAGATCCAATATGTAGGCAACTTATAATGTCTTACTCCTTGAACTTTTGAATAGGCAACTAAAATGCCATCAAATGTATCATATCCTTGAAGTCTAACCTCCAATGTCTTATTCAATTTATTTGACAGTTAAAGTAACATCTTTTTCTTCTTCTTAGGTTTATTGGGCCTTTAAGACCATCCCGTCTCACAACCAAGCTTCCAGCCTTCTCTGTCCACTGCCAAATCCCTCCAATTGGACACACCTCCCATCTGCTCAACATCCTTTTTTACAACATCTTCTCAGCACATTCTTGGTCTTCCCAAAGGTCTTTTACCTACAGGATTTTGTTCAATCACTGCATGTAGAAGTGAATTTTAGTTCCTCCAAGCATGGCCGGCCCATCGTAGTCTTCTTCCTCTGATAATCTTCAATATATTCGGACCATTATATAATGTTTCTAGTTCTATATTCATTCTTCGTCTCCACTCCCCAGTTATTTCGTCCTTGACTGGGCCATATATTTTTTGTAATACTTTTCTTTCAAATGTAATAAATCTCTGTTCGTCCATTTTTCTAAGTGGCCATGTTTCTGATTCATATAATATAACCGGTCGTATCAGGGACGTATATAATTGTTCCTTCATTCTTCGCGATATTACTCTTGAATGTAGTATCTTAGTGAGTCCAAAGAAACATTTATTCCCAGCTTGAATTCTCGTTGCTACCTCATTTGCTATATTATTTTTTTCAGTCAAAATAGTACCGAGGTATTTGAAAGAGTACAACCTCTTTTAAATTCGTAATGATCTATTTTTATGGACTGACAAAAAGGTAGCTCTCGTCTACTCAAGATCATATACTCCGTTTTTTGTTCATTTACGTTTAGTCCTACTTTTGATGCTGCTTTATACAATCTACTAAATAATAACTTCAATCTATCTTCAGATTCTTCCATCAACACTATATCATCCGCATAAGCAAGTATACCTATCGCCGTGTCTTGTAGTCTAATACCTTCATGAGGTTCAATTTTCATTTCCCTAATTACCCTCTCTAAAACCACGTTGAACAGAATCGGCGATAACGAATCGCCTTGTCTTAGTCCTGAATTCACTCTAACCGGGTCAGTTATTGAATTTCCCACTTGAACCCTTACCAAGGTCTCCATTACACTGATCGATATTAGATTGACCAGTTTTTGTGGGAAATGAAATTCTTTCATAATATTCAGTAGACTGTCTCTATGAATACTATCATATGCTTTTTTAAAGTCCACGAAAAGTGTATGTATTTCTTTATCAAACTTCCATTTTTTTTTAAACAATTGCCTAATTATGAACATCTGGTCCGTCGTAGATCTACCAGCTCTAAACCCTCCTTGATAGTTTCCTATTATTTGTTCTGCTTTTTCTTTAATTCTGTCTAAGACACAAATCGAGAATATTTTATACGCTACGTTAAGCAAGGATATTCCCCGGGAATTGTTGCAATCCTGTCTATCACCTTTTTTGTGAATTGAGCACACCACCTCCACCTTCCAAACCTCTGGAAGTTTTTCTGTTGTCCACACCCTGCTAATGACTTGCCAGATCCATCGTATTACATCTTTTCCTCCATATTTTAAGAGTTCCGTTTGATCACAATCCTCTCCTGGGGATTTGTGATTTTTTAATCTTTGTACTTGTACTTCAGTTTCCTCAAGTGAGGGGTGTGGGCATTCTTGTGTATTTATGTTCCTAATATTAAAGAGAAATTTTTCGGTTGGTTCCTCACAGTTTAGTAGATGGTCAAAATACTTTCTCCATTTTTCAGCTATTTCTTTCTCTGTAGTTATTAACATTCCATCATCATCCTTAAGAAACCGTTCCTTCTTTTTAAAATCTCCTTTTAAATCTTTCACTCTCTTATACATATCGCGGGTCCTATTTAACCTAAAGTCCTGTTCTGCATCTTGCATAATATTTTGGATATACTTTCTTTTTTCACATCTTATTATATTGTGAGCATCTTTCCTCCGTCTGCTAAATTCTGTAGCACTCTCTTCATTATTAGTATCTTTCAACCATTCTTCCCGGGCTCTCTTTCTCCTTTGTACTGCGTCTTCACAAATTTTATTGAACCATGGTTTCTTTCTCTTTTTTTCTTATCCCTAAGGTTATTTTTGCGGTTTATTGTACAGCCCCACACATCATTCACATCGTCTGTATTTATTATTTGTTGTTCTTTAAGATTTTCGCTGATTTTTTTGCTGTAATTTTTATATATGTCAACGTCTTCTAACTTCTCAATATCATACCTCTCTATTGTATTTAATTTGTGCATGCTTTGCTTCTTGAATTTTACTCTTATCCAGATNACTTAATTCCATTAAATAATATCAGATCCAGTAAACTGGTGAATTCTAATTCTCACTCCGATTATGTGACCATCTTGTGACTTATGATTCTGTTGAAATCAATCTTATGTACCACGCACAGGAAAAGACATTTTCTATTTCACTTGTTTTCAAAATCCAGGTACATCTCTAATGAATACTTTAATATACTAATGCACACTTACTTTTTTGTAACATGCTATCAGCGTACTGGCGATGATATCATTTACAGTATCGCCAACTTGTGTCTGTGGTGCGCGAATACAAGTATTATTAATTTTATTAACTTTATGCCAAAAAATACAGACGAATTGATGAATATTCTAGTTTTGTTAAATAATAATAATGCATATCTAAACTTAATTATTTAAAACTGTTAGTTTATATATTATTTTTTTAAAGGAAGAATTATAGTTAATTAATTGTATTAAAATAAAAAAAGAGTTATACACAATTTTATAAAGTAAATAATTAAGCTTACCATTATTCCTCAGTAGAACAAAAAAAAAGCGAAATCATAACTTCACTAAAATTAATTAGTTTATATTATGGTTATTTGGATTTAATTATTGCAGTAATTATGAAATTGATAAATAAATTTCTACATAAAATATATAATAATGTTTATAATTTTTTTCTTGAAAAAATGCTGAATTTGTCATTGATTGTGATAATTATATAACAGTATATAAATAAATAAAGGATTCAACGGCTTCTATGTAATATAGAAACGTAATTTTTGATTTAAACTTTGATCAATTTTTTATTGTAAAGTCAAATTTCTTTTTTAAGGGTTAAGCCTTTTAATTTATACTTCGGGGAAAAGTCAAATGCTTTAAAAATCATGTCAACTCTTTCTAGGTTTGATTCTTCAGGAACAAATAAGTCATCATAGCTTTTAGTTACATCTGATGAAAAATTAGAAATTTGCTGATTAATAAATATATTTTTGTAGCAAGTGATTTGCCAGAAGTTAATTCTAATACAAAATTCATGGGTTTACCTAAATGATATATTTGTATTTCAAGTAAACCCTTTTTAACATTTTTTTTTATTTTAACTTAAGGGATCAAATCAAGTTTTGACACGAAGGATACACTAGTGAGATGAACACAATATAGTAGACAACACTGGATTATTTCTCTGAATGCCGTCGAGCCGTTTATTAAAAAAAAAGTAGTAACACAAAAGAAGAAAAAGAAAACCAAAAGTAATAATAATATACAAATGTCGATGTCTTGTGATAAGACGAGAAAAACACAATCGACAGTTCGTATGTGCAGACTGTTATTTTGTTGATGTCACGAAGATCACTAATAAAACGTATTATTGCGGCAGGTATTCGACGTAAGCATTTGTTTGCCTTTACACCTCTACGATAACGCGTGTGTGTTACGGTCCGGTTTAGTGGTGCGATGGCTGAGAAGGAGCTGATACAGTCGCAGGGTGTCAAACGGTTTAGAACGCTCTATGGCCGTGTCAGTTACATACAAATTATAAAATTTATTTGAATATTTTATTTGTAGTACTCACAAATCGCAGTTATATTATTATTATAAGGTTATAATAAAATAGTATTTTAGAAGTTATTAACACTTTTTCTTAGAACATTTTTTATTATATGATAGTGAAATTTGTATGTTTCCATATAGTAAAATAATATTAATATTAATTAAGAAATTTGTTCAAACGTGGGGAGATTACAGTGATGAGATCCATTAAATTTATTAAATACGGTGGGATTTTTCATCATGACGAAAAAATTAAGTTCGAATTTTTTTTTTATATTGAAGTTCATTACATAAGCTTTAATTTAATATATATATATATATATATAAATGTTAGTATTTCCAGAGCACTTTCAAAAGTTATGTGAAAATTTTTTATTTTGAAACCCCTTGTGGGTAAGTAAGGGTTCATATTCAAAAAGAAAAGAAATACCAAATTGTCTGTAAAAAAACATTTGTTTTGATACATTCATATTTTTTTAAGTTATAACAGTTTTATGTAAAAAAAAGTGAAAAAAATAAAGAATCAAACAAAAATATGAAATTTCTTATTAAATTTTATTTTAAATAGATAAGTTAAATTTTACTTATATAAAATTATACATCGTTATTTTTTGTTTATCGATCTCCTTTGGTTCTGAAATTTCTTCTGGTGAGACATTAGGATTCAATCCTAAATAAACAATAAAATATTATATTAAAAAAGTGTTTCCGAAAATTCAAATACAATATATTGAATCCAACTCAATTTTATGAAAAATAAACGTATTCAAAATAATTAATATGTATAACTGTAATAATAATTATAATTATAATTATAAATTTAGGATAAAATATTTTACCTTGTTTAAGAAAGTCGATGAATACTGGCGTTGTACGATTTTTTGACAGAACTTCTAAGTTTTCATCTTTGCTCTCTACAATTACATGTCAATGAAATGTCAAAATTATATTAGTTAAAATTACTTATGAGGTCAAAACAATTATATAATTTTTTTATTAATATATATGAATAATGGTTACCAATAACATGCTATATGTTTAATATGCTATCATAATTTGTCATTTTTAATTATCCCCTTTAATATCATTTCCTCCTTACAGGTAGAGAAACTAGATACTTTTATGCAATTTAAATAAAAAATGTATAATTTAGAACGGGGCTATTTAACTATTAGAGCAAGATTATAATATTGGATATAAAATACGTATTACAGTAAAATTTGCTAAATTTTTATGGTCATTTTTTTAAAGATTAATTAACCTAACAATTACATTTTTTTTTTAATTTAATAAATATAAACATTTATAATTATTTTAAATTATATTTTGAGCATTTTTGCAAGAGCTAAATAATATCATTATTTTACAAAATACGGTATGAATTTAAGTGTGAATAAATAATTACATTATTTTTTTTATTACAATAGCTAAAGAAAAACATATCGAACAAGAATTATATACATTTTAAGTCTTTGAAATTAGGTGATAATTCCAATCGACTATACTTGTCCCAAACTATGCCACGTCCCCACTAAGCTACTGTTTTTTTTTTAATAATTTGTGCATTTTCAGGTTATATTATATTTGTTTTTAGTAACAATTATAAATAAATTTATTTCAAAATTTAAAATAGCATAATGATGTATTAATTGTAAAAGTGTGCATATTAATTTTTTTTTCATAAACCATAATAAATATCAATTTTATTAAAAAAAAAATTGTTTTTAAGAATAGATTCTGTAATTTTGATAAGTAACTTAAACTGTTATTATTGTTTTCCATTAAACGGAAAATAGTCTAAATAATATTTTGACAGGTCGAGAGAAATTTTGTAATATTAGTTCTTCAGATATTAGATTTTAAAGTTATAGGTGTAGAGTAAGGTAGTTTTTAGCTATGATTTTATTTACTATAATGCACAGTTAATAATTTCAAAAATCTACTATTAGAAATAATTTTTTCTAACAATAAACTTAATATTTAATTTAGTTAATAAAAATAAATATACATTTTATTAATACATTAATAACATTTTTATGAAAAATCATAATTTAAGAAAAAAATGAATCTAATATTCTCAATAAATTACATTGCATATAAAACCTTACTTATTATTGCGTCTTCAATAGATTCAGTTTGCATAAGTGCATACATCTCATCGGTTATTGTATAATTTGGTATAGGATGTAATTCTATCAAAAAAAATTAAACGTTGTTATTTTAAATGAAATTATATACAAATACTTTCGTTTGATGATTATTGAATCCAACTTATTGTTCAAATAGTTCCATTTATCAAAAGATGATTATAGAGCAACCAGATAATTCAATAATTTTATTTTTTCAACTTTAAATTACTATAACTTTTCTAAGAATGTATTGATACGGCCCCCGTGTCGCTTCGTGATACATGATGCTCTGCTACTCGTGCCATCTTTATCAGCCGTCACCCAATTATGAATATTTGACTGACCACCATCTTTGTCAGTCGTAGCCATACTATTGGCATATAGTAGTTTGACTGACAAACTAATATGCACAAAGTCCAACAAGTATCGACGGCGACCTACCCTAATATACATGAAGTCTTTTACGCGTAAGGACGTTGAGAATGTATGGCACCCACTCCGGACGTGTTGTACGACGAACCGAAATCGCACCAGCACACCGTCGCCCATCAATGCTACCAACTTTTTGACGTTCGAGGACTATGGCGGAAACCGCGTCGCCAACGCCAACCAAAGTGTCGCGATATTATGCGAAGATTATTATTAATTGTTTTCAAATATTCGATTCCTTTTAAAAAATTGTCTGCTGTTACTCATCAATGAAAACGACCTATGGGTTTCTACTATTAAGACAGTGTCGAATACATTATTACGATGTAAGACGTGTCAATACCAAAAACAAAAAACTATATACATAACCTCTTAGGGTGACCTACACTAATGAAACATAAAATATTATTGTAACTTAAATTATGCACACATAATGGGTTTTCCAAAATTATAAGTTAAGTTTGACCATTAATACAATTTTGCATATTACTGTTAGTTTAATATGCACAATTCATTGTTAGCAAATCAAATGTACTTTGATAAATTATCAGTTGATTCATTTTTTGAGATTTTAATGTGCTCTCAAAAAGTCAGCACTTTTAAAGTAAAAATTGTTTGTATATGATTATAATAAAAATATATATTTAATGATTGGAATTAAGTTCATATCAAATTTAACATAATTCCTTTATAATTCTTTAAACATTCTTGGTTTTATAAAAAATCGATCATACCTGAATTTGTTGATTCTATTTGTAATGGTACAGCAATATTTTGGGTAGACATATCATATAGGAAACCAAGTTTAATAAATTTGTTAACCATTATGTCCCTAATTTTATCATGCAATTTTTCACTTAAATAATCAAAGAAAGGAAGTTTACATCCTTTGCTCATCATAGTTTCATATTCTTTATTCCATTCTTGCCACAAATCATCCTCATTATAAAAAGTATATTTACAATGTTTACTTCCACTATCAATTAAAAATCGATTCCTCTTAAAAGTAGACATTGAAGCTTCCAATGTTATTGTTATAAAAGGATATTCTTTTATATTTTCATGATTTTTTTGTACAGTAAAAAACATACAACTGAATAAAGCATCTTGTTTACTTTCAATCCATCGATTATTGTGCATTATGTTTAAAGCGTTTAACGCTCCTAGCATTACTTTAAGTAATAAATTCATTTTATATGATAATTTCATTAACTTATTAATGCAGTTACAACATAAAGTTTCGAAATTTTTTTTATCGCATAGCGTTCTACAATGATTATTAAAATGTCCTAATAAAAAATATAAAATATTCACATTTTTAACATACGAACAACCCAGTATATATGTAGCAGTACGTATTTTATCATTAATATTATCGTATTTGATTTTAGTTTCAAAAATTGTTTCAATAGAGTAAACTTTTTTTTGGAGAACGGCACATGACACGTCATTCAAATTTATCCACCCATAATTAGCAAAAAGATTATCTAACGCTTTCTTATAAGTTATATAATCGTTCATTGCATTAGAAAACTCCAGTATAAAATTAAAAATTAAACAGAAATAAAAAAATCGTAACAGAAACATTTTTTTTATTAGTATATAAAATATTAATTTAACTAAAAATTTAATGTCGACACATTGAATTGAAAATTCGAAAATTTAAAGAATAACAGTACGCTATGTTTAGTATAATATTAGGTCATATTATTAACTTTATATTAATAGATGATATATTGCATTGTACGTAATAAAGTAAAATTGCAATAAATAGCAATTGTAAGTCACTTTGATTTTTTATCAATACAAATGTAAAATTTTAATATTCTAATAATTATAATGAAACATTGATAATTTTGTCAATGCTGAAAATATTACATAACGAACTCCAATTATTGAATTTTTTTGATGGAAAAGATTATCAATTTTATTTTAGGAAAATTATTGGTAAAAAACAGAAAACTTTTTTAACGCTCTGCAGGCGTTTATATTAGATTTTTTTTAAGAATGACACTTATGAAAATCTGAAATATTTACTAGAGTCGCGTATTTTTATTTTTTTCTATTAAATAAAAAATGATTTGATAACCACTTTTGTATAATTACTTTTTGAGTTTTTATAATTTTAAGTTTTAGGCGAGCGAGTTCCTTAACGCAGAATTCTTCTTATCTGTGAGTTATGGTAAAACATTTTCACTAAACACTACCCCGCTTTTCACCTCTTCAAACATTTAATGCGAATATCATGATAAGTAATAATGCAAATTAGGTTATCGACTAGTCAAAATTTTATTTGAATCATTCGCCAATAAATATTAAAAACCCAGCAGAGTGGTAACGTAGAATAGTTGGAACAAGTATAGGTGATATATGACAGTTATTAAAATCCCTATAAAAAAAAATGCTTTGATGCAAATTTGTAGATAGTTTTTCATTTTTAGAAGGAATTATAAATTATTGCAAAAGCAACAAGTTTAATGATTTATAAGTATAATACAAAAATAAACACCTGTTATAGCGATTAAATTTTGTATGAAATCATTATTGAATAATTTAATATTGAAAATTTTACTGAGGAATAATAAAAATATATAAAATTAAACATATACAAATGTTATATACAGAGTGATTCTTTTAATATTAGTCACTGGATTTCTCTTAAAATAACAATTATATTAAGGAATATCTTTTTGATATTTTTAATTTTATATATTTCTTAATCAATTAATTATTAAGTTTTTTTTGTAAATTCATCCTTTAGAACTTATAGAAGTGTCAAACTTATTATTTTAAATGAAACAAACATATTTAACTTGCTAATAAAATAAATATCATATAATTAAGAAAATTACTAGTCGAAAACCATGTTTAAAATAGTACTTCAGAAGTTATTAACATTTTAGCTTCGATGCAAAGTTGAGAAGGTATTAATTTTACTATTATGTGTTTTTTTTTTATTTGTGTCTGTTACCACTTTTTCTCAGTTTTCACTGAACCGATTTCTTTCAATGATACGTCAGAAGTTCACAAATCGTATCTAGTCCAAGACATTACCCACAAAAATTGAAAAAATTTTCCTCTTTCCCCCTAAATGCGGTAAAACTCCAAAAAACTTACAAATTTAAAAATCGCTAATTTTTTCAATTTTTTTTACTTAAAACTACCAAAACTTTTTCAAAAAGAAACAAATCAATATAATTTTTTTTTATAGATGCTTGATGCTTTTACCTATTGTTTGGTATATTTTTTTTATAAATTTAATACTTTACCAGCCACAGAAGGAGATTCAAAATGACAACATTTTCATAAAAAATTAACTTTTGAAAGTGTTCCGGAAATACTGACACTTTTATATATATCTTAAATTAAAACTAATGAAATATACTTTATTATGGTAAAAAAAAAAATTCGGACTTTATTTGTCTTCATTGTGAAAAGGGCTACCAAATGCTATTATTGTATGAAAATTCTCGATTTTATTTTTTACATTTTTAACTTTATAATGCTATAACTTATTGAAAAGTGTATTGATCAATACAATTTTTTCATGGGAAATACTATTTTTTAATAATCCCTTTTTTATTCGACATACTTTATCTTAATCAGGATATTAATAAGGAACTAGCAGTTTATGAAGCTTTTGGAATAATCCACCAATTTTTTAAAATAAACACAATCTAAAGATTTGCATCGAAGCGTTTTTTTTTAAAGTGATTTTAATCACTGTCAGACATCATTATACTTGATCCAACTATGCCACGTCGCCACTGTACCACGACCCCCCTGTGGTGGGTTTTTTAATATAGAGTGGAGGAAGATCGCGGGAGAGTAATGCGTAATGATAAAAATAAAAAAAAACTAGCATTACTAAATTATTCAATATCAACTCCATTTCTAAATTTAATTACTATAAAAATTATTTTTCAGTATTATACTTATAAATCATTAAAATTTAATGAAACTTAAATTTAATGTAAATTTCATTCACAAAATATTTATGAAATAGGGAACCCCATCACTGTAATCTCTCCTTTATACGATATTTTAAATTAAAGTACAAATGTATGTCAGATAAAAAATATAATCCATTAAAAAAAAAAAATTAATAATGCATACATTTTTCAAAAAGTTATAGCTATATAAAGTTGAAAAAAAATATGAAATTGAACATTTTAACACAATAATAACATATTTTTTAAATACGGCATCCATTGGCACATAGAATATCAGTCATATATCAGTTACAGTTGTAACATAAGCTTTAATCCAACATATATGTTCGACCTCGGAATATTTTTAGACATATATTCAAAAGTTAAATTTTTGTGCTAAATTTGCTATTTTGAAACCCCCCATGGGCAGGTCAACTCCTGTAAATTTTGATAAAATTAACATTTAGCTGTAATGTTAGCTTTGATGATTTATTTTTATAAACCATTGTAAATATTAAGTTTATTTTGAAAAATTATTATTCCTTAATAAAAATTTTTTGGGTTATTTTAAAAAGTTTAATAGGAACATGTTATTATTTTTACTATTAAATGGAGTATAGTCTAAATGAAATTTTGAATGACGGATAACTAGTTTTGTACTTTTACTTTTCCAATTAATATAATAGTTATCTACACATTTTTCTAAGTGTGTCTACGTTATTAACTCGACTAGACTCATAAAACTGCAGATTATGTCAAGTTTTCGCTTATTTTTCACTTAAAATATTTTTCTAAATAAAATAATTGTGTGTTTATTTGATCATTTTCAAATTGAAGAGTCTATCAAGTAACTCGTACTAGTATTTTATGCGTAATAAATTTGTATATTTTATAAAATTAGATATGATTAATTTATAATAAAGCAGCTGCGTGCATTTCAGTTTTTGAAAAAGAAAAAACATAATTTCTTATAAAATTGACAATTTTAAATATACACAGTGATCATAATTTGGTAAGACATTCATTTTATCAGAAACTAAAGCTAATTTTAAATTTTTATAAAAATAAAATATATTTGTTTTGCGGTTCTTTGAAGGGTTCTTTTAACAAATAATTAAAGTTCTATAAAGGTTGATTCTTTATTATTTTAGTCAGAAATGATTTTGAACCTTATTTTTAAAAAAATCACCTTGTATTAATACTTACATTGTGGCCAAGTTCACGGTTTCTTTAGTTCATAAACTTCAATATTTCTTTCATGTGCAACATTGCTCTTTTATTCATATTTAACACTTAGGTAATTTTTAAATGAGGTATAAAACAGATTTTTCCGTAATTTTCAATAATTTCCTTGAGGGATCAAAAATCCATTTAGTTTTCTAAGTTCTTTCCTTCAATAGATATTTTACGTAATTCCTAAATGAGTACTTAGTCAGTAATTAGTAAGCAATTGACCAAGTGTTAATCAATAAAAGCAATATTGCACCTGAATGAAACAATCTTGGCCATAATATATAAATTACTACTTTAATATCAAAAAGAACATTTTTGAGACGAAAAGGGTTAAAACATGAACCATTTCCACAGTTGTTTTTTGAGGATATCATTCCTTTTTGCTGATTTAAGACAGCAAAATACATAATTTTCATGTGACACAAATTAATCAAAACGGGCATCTGCCTGCCCTGCTGCTCTAAAATGACACTCATGTTTGTAAGATCGTTATACATTTTGAGGAAATATAAATTTTCAGTTTTTTCCTTTATTTTTCATACACTACAACATTAAATACTTAAATTAATTAATTAATTATTTTTACAACTTAGAACAAACGCAGCTCATTGAAAATTATATTGAACAATAAATAATATATTTTTCTTTAAAAAAAATTCTTATATATATTAATATATATTTTGTTTTTTAAACGTTATAACAAATTAAGGACATTACCCTACAAGAAATGTATGGCGGCCATTGAAATAAAATCCGTGACATCACGCGCCTATTTAATACAGCCCTTAAATTAATAGCAGGAAGTCTAAACAAAAAAATATCACCACCAAATATTTTTTATTTTTCAAGCTAAAATTATTTTTTGATTTGGTAATTCTTAAGAATATATATTGAAAATTTATACAGGAAAAATAATAATCTTTTCTTAATAGATAATCTCTTAATAACAAAAATATCAAATACTTTTTAAGAAACGTTTTAGTCATAAAATTATTTTATGGCATTTGCATTTATATAATTTCTCATTTTTTTTCTTTTCCGTGGCTTTTTACTTTTTTGCATTTAATAATAGAATAGCGAAACTGTATTATTTATAAAGATCTTTTTTTGAGAGAATTAATTTCTAAAATCACTACTTGGGTGTTTAAAACAATAATGTAAAAATTAATATTTACATAGATACTTACGATTTCTACCCTAAAAAAATTAATTAAAAATTAAAAAAAAAATTATATTTATATAAACAAAATAGTAGTTATTAATTTTTTTTCAATCTGAACCATTATAAAACTGGTTTTTAACTGGTGCCCTTAAAAAAAATTTAAGAACCCCTAATACAACCTGAACTTTACATAGTCTCCATGTTGAAAATGGCTAACGTATTCGAAAATAAATATATTTTTGTGTTAAAATTCTCGATTTTGTATTTTATTTTATTTTAAATACCTTAGAAAAGTTTTTGAGTTAAAAAAAAATTTATA